AGGCAGCAGTATTCGGAAGGCCATACACAGGCCCTATCACAAAATGGAACCCACCAACAGTGTAAGGAGACCTGAAAGTGGCACATGGCGCAGGGTGGCGGTGGAGGCAGCAGTATTCGGAAGCCATACACACAGGACTAGTTTAAAAAGCGGAAGCCGTCAGCAGCGTGAGCAGACGACAGAGGCACATGGCGCAGGGTGGCGGTGGAGGCAGCAGTATTCGGAAGCCATACACACAGGCTAGGTTAAAAAGCGGAAGCCGTCAGCAGCGTGAGCAGACGACAGAGGCACATGGCGCAGGGTGGCGGTGGAGGCAGCAGTATTCGGAAGCCATACACAGCCTAGGTTTAAAACTGGAACCCAGCAGCGTGAGCAGACGACAAAGACGCACATGGCAGAGGATGGATCTGGCAGCAGTATGAGAAGGCGGTACAGGGGCCCGTGGCACAGTGTGGTGATGGGGGCTACTACAGCAACTGGATGCCAGAAAGTGGCCGATAGGGCTATATACTGCATGGAATTATAAAGTTGTAAAGACAGCGGCCTATAAGGCTATACACACTATAACAATCATGACTTGATTGACCATTGGCCTATAAGGCTATACACAGCATGAATATCATGACTTATTCTGAGAGTGGTTTGGAAGGCTATATACAAAAAGTAATTCATGAGCTGTCCGGACAGCGGACAATAAGTACATATATACAAATCAATTCATCAGCTGTCCAGCCAGCGGCCTCAAAGGCGACACATATAGAAAGCAATTCATGAGCTGTTCAGACAGCGGCCTCTAAGGCGACAGATATACAAAGCAATTCCCGAGGTGTTCAGGGAGCGGCCTGAACGGCTAGGTTATTAGGTCAGTTGTGTCAGGAACTGGTGGTTTGAAATCCAGACTAATCCACGCCTGATTCATTTTCACAAACGTGAGTCTCTCCACACTTTGGGTGGACAGTCGTGTCCTCCGCGGAGTTACAATACCTCCTGCCGCACTAAACACGCGCTCCGATGCCACGCTACTGGCCGGGCATGACAGCCTTTCAAGGGCAAATTCAGCTAGTTGGGGCCAAAGGTCAAGTTTCGTTGCCCAGTAGTCAAGGGGATTGTCTACCTCGGTTGGCAGGGTGCTGTCCAAGTAGGCCCAAGCCTGTTGTTTGAGGTCCTGCTCCAGGTCCACCTGATGCTGCTGCTGCTGCGGCTGGTTAGTAGTTTCCTCACTGCGCTGGTGAAGAAAGCTACTCATCATCGACTGCAGACTGAGGCAGCCGCTGCTGGGTGGAGCTGCCACTGCTCCTACCACCCCACCCCTCCCCTGCTGCCATGGCAGCGGAACGCGAGCGCACAGGGCCCACAGTGTCTGAGGATGGACGTTGGCGCAGAAAGGCAGAGACCAACTGACTACATAGGTGGTTTTTATAGTACTTTATTTTGGCCTCCCTCTCAGCAGGTGTGAAAAAGGCCACCATTTTTGAACGGTAGCGAGGGTCCAACAAGGTGGACAGCCAAAAGTCATCCCTCTGTCTGATGGTTATTATTCGGCTGTCGCTACGCAAGCAACCGAGCATGCTATGGGCCATTTGTGCCAAGGAATGCGAGGGACTCCCTGCCTCCATCTCCACAGCATACTGCCACGGTGCGTCTGGGTCCTCTGTCTCCTCCTCCTCCTCCTCTACCAGATGCTCCTGCTCCTCCACTCCTGTCCGCTGAGTGGAAAAACCACCCACCCATTTCACTCAATAATTCCTGAGCACCAATGTCCTCCTCTACCTCCTCCTCTTCTTCCTGTCCTGCCCCCACAGGGGTCATGTGGCGTTGAGATCTGTGCGCCACGTCTACCGCACCCTGACCAGCCATTGTTAACAGCATTTGTTCCAGGACGTGCAACAGAGGAATGACGTCGTTCATCCCATAGTCCTGCCGACTCACGAATAGCGTGGCCTCCTCAAAGGGCCTGAGCAAGCGGCAGGTGTCACGCATGAGCTGCCAATGGCTGACATCTAAGTTACACAGGGGAGTACCTTTATCCGCTTGTAACATCAGGAAATCGGTGATGGCCTTTCGCTGTTCGTAAAGGCGGTCTAACATATGTAGGGTTGAATTCCACCTTGTTGCAACGTCGCAGATCAGGCGATGCTGTGGAATTCCGTTCTGCCGCTGCAGCTCAAGGAGGGTGTGCTTTGCGGTGTAGGAATGGCTGAAATGCATGCAAAGTTTACGTGACATTTTAAGGATGTCTTGCAGTGGGATGGTGGATTTTAGGAACCGCTTGACAACCAGATTGAACACGTGAGCCATGCATGGCGCATGGCACAACCTTCCTTGACGCAGAGCAGACACCATGTTCTTTCCGTTGTCGGTCAACATGGTTCCGATTTTCAGTTTGCGCGGAGACAGCCATCTGTCGATTTCTCTGTTCATTACACTCAGAAGTTCCTCCCCTGTGTGACTACGTTCGCCAAGGCATACCAGGTGCAGCACAGCGTGACACCGTTGCGCCCTGCACATGTGATATGCCGGTCGGGTAATGGGACTTGGCACGGGGGTGGCGGCTGAGGACACGGCGGAAGAAGAGGTGGTAGAGGCGGACATCTTTGCTGGACCAAGGACGTGCAAACGTGGAGGCAAAAGCGGCGTGACCTGTCCAAGTTGCTGGTGCGGCTGTGCCGGCACCACGTTCACCCAGTGGGCCGTAAATGACATGTACTGTCCCTGACCGTAGTTACAGCTCCACACACGTCGGCGCTGCCGTGCACTTTGGCAGAGACCGACATGCTCAAAGACTGGCCCACCATCTCTTCTACATGTGAAATGCAGGGCTGGCACTGCCTTTTTGGCGAAGAAATGCCGGCTTGGCACTCTCCACCGCGGCTCGGCACAAGCCATCATTTCTCGGAAAGGTGCTGAGTCCACCACTTGGAAAGGGAGGGACTGCAGCACCAGCAACTTGGACAGGAGGACGTTCAGCTTCTGCACCGTCGGGTGCGTGCTCGCAAACTGTTGTCTCTTGGAAACGGATTCCAAGAAAGACTGCTGACGGAATCCGTGAAGAGGAGTAGCAGGAGAAGGAGCATCTGAACGAGCGGAAGATGCCAACGAGCGACAACTCCCCTCAGCAGAGGTGTTGGAGCCTTGACTGGCTGATAGAGGGCGATTGACGTCGGGTGACGGAGCAAGTAACGGAGCGGGTGATGGAGCGGGGGCTGGGGCAGGCAGAACCGCCGTATCTTTATCACGGTTTTCCCAGGCCACCGAATGGCGACGCTGCATATGCTGACGCAACGCTGTAGTCCCAACATTGGCCCCCTGGCCACGCTTGACTTTCTGGCCACATAGTCGACATACGGCTACGTTTACTTCCTCGGGCGGCTTGACGAAAAATTGCCACACCGCCGAGTAGGAAACTTTGCCCCCGCTACTCCTCACTGGCTGACTGCTACTTCCTCCGTGCACACCGGCACCACTACTGGCCGTGGTGGTAGGCTGCAGTGGAGCTGGTGCTCTACTCCGTGGCCGTTTGGCTCCACTGACACTGCTGCGACCCTGCTGCCTCCTGGGCAACCCACCGACTGTTTTGCTCGCTGGCAAGCTGGCACCCTCTTCTCCTGATGATGCGGAAGCAATAGCCTGATGACGACGAGGCTGCCAAGTGCGATCAGCCTCATCATCATCAATTAGGGTCTCCGCGTCACTACTAGCCCCCTCGGCTGCGTGTGGGTCAGGAGACAGACCTGTCTCTAGACCGGCTACCGAGCCACTCTCCTCGCCAGTACTTCTTCGCCTGGCTGCTGAAGAGGCGGATGTCTCCCCCCGTTCCTGACCGCCCTCTGTTAGCTCTTCCTCACTGTACAGTGGGGCTGAGCCCACAGCATGCGATACTTCGCTTGGTGAGGGAACACCAAAGGACAGGGGCAGGTCGAGGACACGTGATTTCAGTGGGCTTGCTCCCGGGCCATGCCAACTAACGGTTGTGTCTGACGTACCCACCGACCGTTGGCTGTAGGTGTCAGAGGTGACCTGGGAAGAGGAAGACGACCGAGTCAACCAATCGATGACGGCAGGGTTGTCGGTGGAGACACGACCGCTGGATGACACCGGGAGCACTGGCCTCTGGCTGCGACTAGTGCTGCCTCGACCCCTTCCTCTGCTGCCACGTCTGCTCGCTCCTGAAACATTGCCTCCTCTGCCACTCCTCTGCGTGTTGTCTGACATACTCTTTAATTCAATAAGCACCCCAAAAATAAAACCGGATTTAACTCTTTGAACGTACAATAGTGGTTGTGAAGCAGAAAGTCAGTTTATTTAGCACAATCGGTCAATTGCAGCTTGCCGTTGGCTGGAAACTGTACGTTTATGTCACTGGAATGCACTAATCACCCAAAAAATATTACCGCCACCCGGCGTGTATATGGATTTAACTCTTTGAACGTACAATAGTGGTTGTGAAGCAGAAAGTCAGTTTATTTAGCACAATCGGTCAATTGCAGCTTGCCGTTGGCTGGAAACTGTACGTTTAGTCACTGGAATGCACTAATCACTCAAAAAATATTACCGCCAAAATGGATCTAACTCTTTGAACGTACAATAGTGGTTGTGAAGCAGAAAGTCAGTTTATTTAGCACAATCGGTCAATTGCAGCTTGCCGTTGGCTGGAAACTGTACGTTTATGTCACTGGAATGCACTAATCACCCAAAAAATATTACCGCCACCCGGCGTGTAAATGGATCTAACTCTTTGAACGTACAATAGTGGTTGTGAAGCAGAAAGTCAGTTTATTGTACACAATCGGTCAATTGCAGCTTGCCGTTGGCTGGAAACTGTACGTTTGTGTCACTGGAATGCACTAATCACCCAAAAAATATTACCCAGCCGGCCGGCGTGTAAATGGATTTAACTCTTTGAACGTACAATAGTGGTTGTGAAGCAGAAAGTCAGTTTATTTTGCACAATCGGCAAACTGCAGCACCAACTGTGCACGACAGCCACCAAAAAAAAAAAAGGGTGTATGTCACTTTAAATTTTCGATTCTTTGATAGCTGTGGCCCTGAGTAACGTTTCTGTGTCCCTGAGTAACGATTCTGTGTCCCTGAGTAACGATTCCGTGTCCCTGAGTAACGATTCTGTGTCCCTGAGTAACGATTCTGTGTCCCTGAGTAACGATTCTGTGTCCCTGAGTAACGATTCTGTGTCCCTGAGTACCAATTCTGTGTCCCTGAGTAACAATTCTGTGTCCCTGAGTAACGATTCTGTGTCCCTGAGTAACGATTCTGTGTCCCTGAGTAACATTCTGTGTCCCTAAAGTCTCTGTGGCCCTAACTCTGTCCCTTAATACAGACAGGTCTGTCTCTCTTGAATGACCGGAGGCTAATGAATTCTAAGATGTCCCTGAGAACAATTCTGTTGCGATCCTACCGATTCTGTGCCCTTATGTTGTCCCTAGTAAGTAGCTCTGTGGCCCTAAAGTACTCTTTGGGGAGTCCATGCTCCCATTACATACAGGCTGCTGTCTTTCCTTGAATGCGGAGGCTAATGAAGAATTCTAAGATGGCCGCGCGATGCGATCACATGTCATGATTCATGACTCATGAATGCAATTTATGGGTCAGCGCGCCTTTGTCCTGCGCGCCTTCCCAGAGATCCCCGCCCCATCTTCTCTGTCCATTTTCTCCTGTCGCCACACATGTCGCCGCCATTTTTGGGAAAAATTCGATTCGTGCATCCGAAGTTTGCTAATCTTCGGATTCGTCGCGAATAGAATTTTTCCAAATCATCGGAACGAATTCCACTTCGTCATGTTCGATTCGCTCATCTCTAGTCATGATGAGAGAAAGAATCTGCCAGCTTTTTGTGGATATTGCATTCTATGGGAGTCCTATAACCGGATGAGAGCATCTTTCTACCACTAATTCTATGGATAACACGGCCTCCTAGGAACCAGAGGTCTTGCACAGGCTCTTGTCTGTTTGCAGGGATGTGCAGAGTTACTGCCTGATTGCCTGTTATCGCGGCGAGCAGCAATACCTGTGTGAGGACTGGACAGTAACAGCCCCGGTGCAGAGAAGACTGATATGTTCCCAGTGTGGCTATCACTGTCACAGCTGTGCTTAACTGTTGTGCAGAGTCCCACAGCAGTAGGCCCACAATCTGTCTCTGTAGGACAATGACAGTCCCCCCTGTTTCCAGCTCTGAATCCCGTGCCAAGAGAGTGATCCTGTCCTTTGCTGTGGAATACATCTGATTTCCCAGCATTCTTCTAGTTCTCCAGCTCTCTGGTATGACTAGTTCAATCAGCACTCAGGAATATGATATGCATTGGCTGTAGGACTACAGGTCTTAAGATCCTCTGCTGTCAGAAGAATTGGATCCACTTTGCTAACAGGAAGTGAAGTAGCTGTCCCAGTACTGGGCACTTGCGGGGAAAAGGCTTGGTCATAGTCCTCATCTGTAAGTGTCCCCTGCATAATAACATACGGTATTAACATACATTAACATGGATTTCAGTGCTTCTATTATGAGTTTTGAAAATGAATTTCATTACAATGGCTAAAGGGACAGAGTTGAATGATGGCTACCAGTGCTTCTACTGCTTTTCAAGAATATGTAAATAATTTAGTGTGCATAGTCTGGGCACAGGTTGACTTTAAGTAGCACTCACAATCTTGTGTCCTTTTTCTAGCCTGTGGCTAGACAGTCAAAGCTGCTGCCACTCTACTTTTCTCCACCTTCCAACATGCTTCTTATTAGCACATAAACTGATTGCCCCCTTTCTGCTGCAACTCCATCTCCCAGCTATGTGTTACAGAGACTGCAAATGGCTTACACCCAGGTCAAATTCAGGTACTTGTTTGCATTAAAAAATGATTAATGAATATAGAGCTGAATTTATTTGCATTCTTATATGTAAAGCCTTGAGTCCAAAGTTTAAAAAAGCTGCCCCAAAACAGGTTTTCTGAAAACCTTGTAAATGCTCTGGAGTAAAAGCATTATGTATACTGTAATGTAATAAATTGCAGTTTACCAATCCTTAAATGTGGTAGCTGCATTAGTTTCCTTTTTTAGGCATTTTACCCATTCATTTTCATGTGGTGATCTGGCCAATAACATCCTTTCTGTCTTGTGGTGTCTCCACTCTGGATGAAGAGGCAATGGAGACATCTTTGGACAGCAATATTGTCAGTCTGGAGTAGTAGTTACTATACTAGCAGATTTAGATTAGACTAACATGTGGGCTGGCCAAGCCGTACTGACTACCAAGTTATAAGGAGGTGGACTCTCCAACATAGGGTACCTTTGGCTTGTGTGAGCATGCTCACCAATGCTGTTGCCAGGAGGGGCCACTTTCAGGTGAAATTCACCTTATGGCAGCACTCCAGTTTAGAGCTGAGCCGTTCACCGTGTGTAGCTGTATGACCTACAGAGTCCCTCTGTGAATATACTGTCCTGTGTCACTACACACCTTCTTTGTTGTATATTGCATTTACGAGGGACACCGCTGAGCTCATGCCTTCTCCATCAGTCCAGCGTACTTTTGCCACCTCACTCCCAGTGACGGAAACTCTCCCATGTGGTTAGATCTGGGGTCTCCATAACGCTGGTTTAGTCCCATTTTCAGAGGAATCGATCTCCAGAGAAGGAAGTCAGCGCATCGACCCCCCTCTCCACCAGAGGACCCTGCACCGACGCCAGGAAGCAGGCTTACAACTGGTTGCTGTACACTTTGCTCTAGTTCCGGATACTAGGGATGCACCGATACCGGTATTGGTGCCAATACTGAGTATTTTCACGTGTACTCGAACTCGTGAAAATGCTTCCGATACCCAAACTGATACTTTGTGTTTTGATTTGTGTCAATAAAAAATGTATGGACACAAATTTCACTGCAAAGAATAGCATGCGATTTGATAAGGAATGCTATTCCTGTCCAAATCACATGCAGTTTCCTCTCCACTCCCATGTAAACCAATGCTTGTCATAGCCAGAGTTCACATAGGAGCACTGCGGTAAAACCTCCCTGCACCAATCCCATGCTGAGCAAGTGAGAGAAGTGTGGGAGAGAAGGGCATGTGGGGATGTATATACCGGTGTCAGCAATCAGGCAGAGGATGGAGGCAGATGCTCAGGATTCTCAGCTGTAAGAAAGGATTTGAAACCCCAAGGGCTTTCTCTCCTCTCCTTGCAGGGATGACAGTACAAGCTAGACGGCTTCTGATTGGTCAGGACCGTGACGGTGCTGACCAATCAAAAGCCATTTAGCCTATACTGTCATCCCTGCAAGGAGAGGAGAGAAAGCAGTGGGGATTTCAAATCCTGCAGCTTTCCCTCCTCTCCTACAGCTGGGAATCTAGAGCATGGCCGTGGCTTTCCCTCCTCTCCTACAACTAAGAATCTGGAGCATGGCTGCAGCTTTCCCTCCTCTCCTACAGCTGAGAATCTGGAGCATGGCCATGGTTTTCCCTCCTCTCCTACAGCTGAGAATCTGGAGCATGGCCGTGGCTTTCCCTCCTCTCCTACAGCTAGGAATCTGGAGCATGGCCTCAGCTTTCCCTCCTCTCCTACAGCTGAGAATCTGGAGCATAGCCATGGCTTTCCCTCCCCTCCTACCATTGAGGATCCGGAGCATGGCTGCGGCTTTCCCTCCTCTCCTACAACTAAGAATCTGGAGCATGGCCACGGCTTTCCCTCCTCTCCTACAACTAAGAACCTGGAGCATGGCCACGGTTTTCCCTCCTCTCCTACAGCTGAGAATCTGGAGCATGACCTTGGCTTTCCCTCCTCTCCTACAGCTGGGAATCTGGAGCATGGCCATAGCTTTCCCTCTTCTCCTACAACTATGAATCTGGAGCATGGCTGCAGCTTTCCCTCCTCTCCTACAGCTGAGAATCTGGAGCATGGCCATGGCTTTCCCTCCTCTCCTACAGCTGAGAATCTGGAGCATGACCTCAGCTTTCCCTCCTCTCCTACAGCTGGGAATCTGGAGTATGGCCATGGCTTTCCCTCTTCTCCTACAACTGAGAATTTGGAGCATGGCCATGGTTTTCCCTCCTCTCCTACAGCTAGGAATCTGGAGCATGGCCTCGGCTTTCCCTCCTCTCCTACAGCTGAGAATCTAGAGCATGGCCATGGCTTTCCCTCCTCTCCTACAGCTGAGAATCTGGAGCATGGCCGTGGCTTTCCCTCCTCTCTTACAACTAAGAATTTGGAGCATGGCCACGGCTTTCCCTCCTCTCCTACAGCTGGGAATCTGGAGCATGGCCATGGCTTTCCCTTTTCTCCTACAACTAAGAATCTGGAGCATGGCTGCAGCTTTCCCTCCTCTCCTACAGCTGAGAATCTGGAGCATGGCCATGGCTTTCCCGCCTCTCCTACAGCTGAGAATCTGGAGCATGACCTCGGCTTTCCCTCCTCTCCTACAGCTGGGAATCTGGAGCATGGCCATGGCTTTCCCTCTTCTCCTACAACTAAGAATCTGGAGCATGGCTGCAACTTTCCCTCCTCTCCTACAGCTGAGAATCTGGAGCATGACCATGGCTTTCCCTCTTCTCCTACAGCTGGGAATCTGGAGCATGGCCATAGCTTTCCCTCTTCTCCTACAGCTGAGAATTTGGAGCATAGCCATGGCTTTCCCTCCTCTCCTACAGCTAGGAATCTGGAGCATGGCCACGGCTTTCCCTCCTCTCCTACAGCTGAGAATCTGGAGCATGGCCATGGCTTTCCCTCCTCTCCTACAGCTGAGAATCTGGAGCATGACCTCGGCTTTCCCTCCTCTCCTACAGCTGAGGAGAATCTGGAGCATAGCCATGGCTTTCCTTCCCCTCCTACCATTGAGGATCCGGAGCATGGCTGCAGCTTTCCCTCCTCTCCTACAACTAAGAATCTGGAGCATGGCCACGGCTTTCCCTCCTCTCCTACAACTAAGAACCTGGAGCATGGCCACGGCTTTCCCTCCTCTCCTACAGCTGAGAATCTGGAGCATGACCTTGGCTTTCCCTCCTCTCCTACAGCTGGGAATCTGGAGCATGACCTCGGCTTTCCCTCCTCTCCTACAGCTGGGAATCTGGAGCATAGCCATGGCTTTCCCTCCTCTCCTACAGCTAGGAATCTGGAGCATGGCCACGGCTTTCCCTGCTCTCCTACAGCTGAGAATCTGGAGCATGGCCATGGCTTTCCCTCCTCTCCTACAGCTGAGAATCTGGAGCATGACCTCGGCTTTCCCTCCTCTCCTACAGCTGGGAATCTGGAGCATGGCCATGGCTTTCCCTCTTCTCCTACAACTAAGAATCTCTGGAGCATGGCTGCAGTTTTCCCTCCTCTCCTACAGCTGAGAATCAGGAGCATGGCCATGGCTTTCCCTCCTCTCCTACAGCTGAGAATCTGGAGCATGGCCATGGCTTTCCCTCCTCTCTTACAACTAAGAATTTGGAGCATGGCCACGGCTTTCCCTCCTCTCCTACAGCTGGGAATCTGGAGCATGGCCATTGCTTTCCCTTTTCTCCTACAACTAAGAATCTGGAGCATGGCTGCAGCTTTCCCTCCTCTCCTACAGCTGAGAATCTGGAGCATGGCCATGGCTTTCCCTCCTCTCCT